CTCCCATAAGACTATCAGCTGATTTCTCAACAGAAACTTTGCAGGCCAGAAGGGAGTAGCAGGAATTATTCAAAGTGATCAAAAACAAGGCCTACAACCAAGACTATTCTTCCCAGCAAGGCTATCATTTAAAATTGAAGGACAGATAAAGAGTTTCCCAGACAACAAAAGCTAAAGGAATCTATTGCCACCAAGCCAGTATTATAAGAAATATTAAAAGGACTACTTTAATCAGAAGAAAGGAGAAAACAAACAAAAGAATATTAAAAACATGAAGAATAATAAAATGGCAGTAACTATGTATTTATCAATAATCACTTTAAATTGTAAATGGCCTAAATGCTCCAATCAGAACACATAGGGTAGCAGAATAGATAAGAAAACAAGACCCATGCATATGCTGCCTACAGGAGACCTACTTGAGATTAAAAGACACACATAGAATGAAAGTAAAGGGATGGAAAAAGATATTTCACACAAACGAAAAGGAGAAAAAGCTGGGATAGTAATTATTTATATCGGACAAAATAGACTTTAAAACAAAGACTATAATAAGAGACAAAGAAGGACATTACATAATGATAAAAGGATCTATCCAACAAAAGGATATAACCCTAGTAAATATCTATGCATCCAACATAGGAACACCTAAATATATAAAACAAATATTTACCAACATAAAAGCAGAGATCAACAGTAACACAATCATAGTAGGGGACTTTAATGCCTGCTGACATCAATAGACAGATCTTCCAGACAGAAAATCAACAAGGAAACAGCGTCCTTTGATTACACACTAGACCAGATGGATTTAATTGATATTTTTAGACCATTTCACCGCAAAGCAGCAGAATATACATTCTTTTCAAGTGCATATGGAACATTTTCCAAGAGAGACACATATTAGGCCACAAAATAAGCCTCAATAAATTTAAGAAGATTGAAATCATATCAATTTCTTCTCTGACCACAATGTTATGAAACTAGAAATCGTTTACAAGAAAAAAACCGAAAAACACAAAAATACATGGAGGCTAAATAACATGCTACTAAATAATGAGTGGGGCAACAATGATATTAAGGAAGAAATCAAAAAGATACGTTGATAAAAGTGAAAACACGATGACCCAAAATCAATGGGACACAGCAAAAGCACTCCTAGGAGGGAAATTCATAGCAATGCAGGCCTACCTAAAGAAACAACAAAAATCTCAAGTCAATAGTCTATCTTTACACCCAAAGGAACTGGAAAAAGAATAGCAAACAAAGCCCAAAGTGAGTACAAGGAAGGAAATAGTAAAGATCAGAACGGAAATAAGTGAAATAGAGTCTAAAAAAAAACAATATAAAAGAGCAATGAAACCAAGAGCTGGTTTTTTGAGAAGATAAACAAAACTGACAAACCTTTAACCAGACTCATCAAGAAAAAAAGAGAGAGGACCAAAGTAAATAAAATCAGAAATGAAAGAGAAGTGACAATGGGCACCACATAAATACAAAAAAGTTAAAGAAAATACTACGAGCAATTGTATGACAACAAATTGGACAATCTGGAAGAAGTGTATAATTTCCTAGAAACATACAGTCTTCCAAGGCTGAATCAAGAAGAAACAGAAAATCTGAACAGACCGATTACTACCAATGAAATCAAATCAGCAATCAACACGCTCCCCACAAACAAAAGTACAGGACCAGGTGGCTTCACAGGTGAATTTTACCAAGCATTCAGAAAAGAACACCTATTCTTATCAAATTATTCCAAAAAATTCAAGAGGAGGGAAGGCTCCCAAGCTTATTTTAGGAGGCCACCATTAACCTGATTTCCAAAACCAGACAAAAACATTACAAAAAAAGAAAAGTATAGGCCAATATCCCTAAGGAACATAGATGCAAAAATTCTCAACAAACTGAATTCAGCAATATACTAAAAAGATCATACACCACGATCAATTGGGATTTATTCCTGGTATGCAAGGTTAGTTCAATATCTGCAACTCAATTAACATTATATACCACATAAAAAAGTGCAAAATAAAAATCATATGGTCATATCAATAGATGCAGACAAAACATTTGACAAAATCTAGCATCCATTTATGATAAAATCTCTGCTCAAACTGGGAATAGAAGGAACATATCTCAGCATAATAAAGGCCATATATGACAAACCCACAGGAAATATCATATTCAATGGAGAAAAGCTAAAAGCATTCTTAAGATCAGGAACAAGATAAATATGTCCACTTTCACCACTTTTATTCAACATAGTACTGGAAGTCATAGCTGCAGCAATCAGACAAGAAAAAGAAATAAAAGGCATCCAAATTGAAAAGGAAGAGGTAAAATTGTCATTATTTGCAGATGACATGGTACTATATAGAGAGAACCCTAAAGTTTCCACAAAAAAGCTATTAGAACTCATAAATTAATTTAGTAAAGTAGGATACAAAATTAATATTCAGAAATTGGTTGCATTTTTGTACACTAATAATGAACTGTCAGAGAAATTAAGAAAACAATCCCATTTACAGTTGCATCAAAAATAAATAAATAAAATACCTAGGAATAAATTTAACCAAAGAAGTAAAAGACCTGTACTCAGAAAATTGTAAGACATTGAATAGAGAAATTAAAGAAGATACAAATAAATTAAAACATATACCATGCTCATAGATAGGAAGAATTAATATGGTTAAAATGTCCATTCTACCCAAAGCAATCTATAGATTCAATGCAATTCCTATCAAAATACCAATGGCATTTTTATCAAAACTAGAACAAATAATCCTAAAATTTATATGAAACCGTAAAAGACCCTGAATAGCCATGGCAATCCTGAGAAAGAAGAACAAAGCTGGAGATATCACACTACCTGATATCAAACAGTACTACAAGGCCATAGTAATCAAAACAGCATGGTATTGACATAAAAACAGACACATAGATCAATGGAACAGAATAGAGAGCCCAGAAATCTATGCCTATATGGTCAGTTACTCTATGACAAAGGAAGCAAGAATATACACTGGGATAAATACAGCCTATTCAGTAAATGGTGCTGGGAAAACTAGACAGGTATATGCCAAAAAATGAAACTGGACCAACTTCTTACTCCATATACAACAATAAACTCAAAATGGATTAAAAACTTAAATGTAAGACCCGAAACCATAAAACTTCTAAAAGAAAATATAGGAAGTAAACTCTCAGACATTATCATAGTAATATTTTTACTAGTATATCTCCTCAGACAAGGGAAACAAAAGAAAAAATAAAGAAATGGGACTACATCAAACTAAAAAGGTTTGACACTGTAAAGGAAACCATCAACAAAACGAAAAGACATCCTACAGAATGGGAGAAGATATTTGCCAATGATACTTCTGATAAGGGGTTAATTTTCAAAATTAATAATAATAAAAAAAACTCATGCAACTCAACACCAAAAAAACAAACAATCCAGTTACAAATGGGCAGAGGACCTGAATAGACATTCCTCCAAAGAGGACATACAGATGGTCAATAAACATATGAAAAGATGCTCAACATCCCTAGTCATCAGAGAAATGCAATTAAAAACACAATGAGATATCACCTCACTCCTGTCAGAATGGTTATCAATAAATCAACAATCAACAAGTGCTCGTGAGGCTGTGGAGAAAAGGGAATCCTTGTGCACTGTTGGTGGGATTGCAAGTTGGTGCAGCCATTATGGAAAACAGTATAGAGGTTCCTCTATAAAAAATTACAAATAGAACTACTTTATGACCCAGCAGTTCCACTCCTGAGTATTTATCCAAAGAAACCCAAAACACTTATTCAAAAAAATATATGCACCCCTGTGTTTACTGTAGCACTATTCATAATAGCTAAGATAAGGAAACAACCGAAATGCCCATCAATAGATGACTGGATAAAGAAATTGTGGTACATTTATACAATGGAGTATTACTCTGCCATAAAAAAGAATAAAATCTTACAATTTGCAACAACAATGGACCTAGGGGATATTATGCAAAGTGAAATAAGTTACACTGATAAAGACAAATATCATATGATCTTGTATGTGAAATCTAAAGAACAGAATGAATGAATGAATGAATGAATGAATGAATAAAACAGAAATAGACTCATATATACAGAGAACAAACTGATGGTTGCCAGATGGAAGTGGGTATGGGGGACTGGGTGAGAAAGGTGAAGGGATTGGAAAGTACAAATTGGTAGTCACAAAATAGTCATGGGATGTGAAATACAGTATGGGGAATATAATCAATTCAGTAATGTTGTAAAGACTGTGTAAGGTGTCAGATGGATACTAAACTTATTGGGGAATCACTTTTTAAATTATATAAATGCCCAACCACTGCACTGTACACCTGAAACTAATATAAAATAATATTGAATGTCAACTAGAATTTTAAATGTATAGGGGGTGCCAAAAAATGCATACACATTTTAAGAAAGGAAAACTATATTAAAATTGTAATACTCAACATATACCGATAACAAAAGTGAAATACAAGTCATGTTTGACTTCTGTGTTTACAAGAGGTGCTCAGAGTGGTTGTTATCAGCAACCAGACACTTCTGATTACAGCGAACTACTGCTTGAGCAACGTTAACCAAAGTGTCTACTTTTTGGTACCCCCGATATGGGATATATATATATATATATATATATATATATATATATATATATATATATATATATATATATATATATATATATGGGATGTAATGTACAGCATAGGGAATATAGTCAATAATGTTGTAATAACTGTGTACAGTTTCAGATGAGTAATAGGCTTATTGGTATTATCACTTTGTGAGATATATTAATGTCTGATCACTATGTTGTTTTGTACACCTGAAATTAATAAAGAAAACTTATAGTTTTATATTTTTTCACCAACTCTAATATAAGCTATAATTTTATAGACACTCGACCTTATATTTGATCATTTAACTAAAGATCTGTGGTGTTTGATCTGTTACAGGGAAAGTCCTTCTGCTAGCATGGACACATGTGCAATTCTATCATCATTTGTGTGCTCCAATAGGACTCTGCTAATTGATGGCCGGGTAGAACTCAAAAGAGGCCTGCAGAGGCAGGAGCGGCATCTATTCCTGTTCAATGATCTGTTTGTTGTGGCCAAAATCAAGTAAGTAGACTCTGTACTCTCTCCTGATTATTGTTATAAAATTGCACTTACACTAACAAAGATAACCTTTCTATTCAATGCTTATTTTAAGAATGTCTACCCTCTGTTACCATCAGTATATCTGGAGTGAGTTCTGTGTTTCCTTGTTTTGTTTTGTTTTTGCAAAAAAAAAAAACGTTTCAATTGTTCATTCATTCAACAAGTGTTCATTTAGGTCTCTGTGCCATGCTCTGAATAAATATGGCGACTACAATGAAGAATGTGATTGGTATGGTCCCTGCTTTCTTGGTGCTTTCATTCTAATGTGGGAAGGGGGAAGTTATCAATTGTGATTAGTGCTATAAAGAAAATAGGGTGTTGGATAAAGTAAAATATAAGATATATGTTAGGTAGGTATAGTCAGGAGGGGAAAAAAATCAATGAAGGATGAAAAGCAACCAACTATTCAAATATCAGGAGGATGAGCATTCTAGGCAGAGGAAACACCAGGTACAAAGGTGGTGGGGAAAGCTTGGCTCTTTGGAGGAGCTGAGTTAAAAGAAGGCCTATGTGTGTAAGTGGAGCATAATGAGCAGCAGGAGAGGAATATGCATTGAGACTGGAGAAATAGACAACGATTAGGTTGTAGGCTGTATAATCTATTGCCATATTACAAATTATCCTGAAACATAACAATTTTTAACTACAGACAACTCATACAGTTTCTCTGAGTCAGGAATTTGGGAGTGGCTTAGCTGGTAGAACTGGCTCAAGAGTCCTCATGAGGTTGCAGTTCAGATGTTGACCCGAGTTATAGTCATCTCAAAATTCTACTGGAGCTAGAGAACCACTTCCAGTTTATTCATGTGGCTACTGGTAGGCCTCAGTTCCTCACTGGCGGTTGGCCTAAGGTTGTAGTTCTTCACGTGGGTCTCTCCATGAGGCTGCTCATAACATGATATTGCTTCCTTCAGAGAAAAAGATCCAAGAAAGTAAGGAAGAGAATAGGCAAGAGAGAGAATACCCAAAATAGAAGCTGCAGTCTTTTATAACTGAGTTTTGGAAGTTGCATACCATCATTTCTGACATATGCTATTGGCCACACAGACCAACCTTGCTACAATGTGGAAGGAAACTACACAAGGGTGTGAATACCAGGAAGCAGGAACCACTGGAGGCCTCCTGGAGACTAGGGACCACAAAGGCTATGATAAGGAGTATGGATTTTATTCCAGAGGACTTTAATTAAGGGGGTAGCATGTTGTAGTTCATGTTTATAAATATTGTTCTGGCTATGATAGCTAATGAATTAGAAGGTAGGCAAGAATAGAAGCAAGGAGACTGGATAGGAGGTTATTGTAATGGCCCTGATGGAAAGAGAATGAGGGCTGGGGAAATGGCAGTTCAATGAAGAATACAGACATATTTGGAATATACTTCAGAGGTAACCAAAATAATTCACTTTCTTCTCAACACTGAATGCCAATGTGATTAACACTCAGCCTAGAACATGGTGATTGTTACTTGCTCCATCCCCCATTCTCATTGTTTATGGAATATCATAAATGATCACTTTTATTTTAACAATCTAATCTCATCCAAGAGATTTTTAGTCACTAAAGAATTGTAAACATTTTTTTCTACTATCTACACTCTCACACCTAAGTGCCATATTATAAATAAGACATGGTCATGGCTAAATACTAATTTTGCAAGACACTATATTTAATCTGAGTAATAATACTAACAATAGAGACCTCACATTTGTTGGGATCTTATTGTATGTTAGGTATTTTTCTAGCGACTTTAACTCATATAACTATTCTATCAAGTAGATATTATTTTTACAAAGGAAATTGGTACTCAGAGAAGTTAAGTGACTTCCTCGAGATCACAAAGTTAGTAATTAATTGAGGCCACATTTAAACCTAGATCTATCTTGTTTCAAAATCCATGCTTTTGACCAATATGTGTTCTGCTATCTATTACTTACCTTTTATGGATTTCATAGAAAATTCTTCAACCATTTAGTTTCTTTTTAACCATTAAATCAGTCTTTCTTTAGTGATGACTAAAAGGGTCTAAGTAAATATTCATCTAATACGAAATAACATAGAATGCTTAGTGAACTGTTGATACTTTTTTTGTTGTTGTTACAGGCAAAGATAAAGAAAACTGTTTCAGAATGTGTTGGGTTTTTCCCTTATGAAAGATGTCTTTTTTCTTTATTTTGGTATGAGCACAACATGACATCTACCCTCTTAACAAAATTTCAATTGTGCAGTACAGTATTACTAACTAATAGGCACAATGTTGTACAAAAGATCTCTAGAATTTATTTACCTTGCACAACTGAAATGTAATGTTCATTAATTAGCAACTCCCCATTTTCCTCCTCCCCTCAGCCCTTGGAAGCCTACATTTCACTTTGATTCTGTGAATCTATTTTAGATGCCTCATGTAAGTGGAGTCATGCAGTATTTGTCCTTCTATGACTGGTTATTTCACTTAGCATAATGTCCTTCAGGTTCATCCATGTTGTCTCATATTTCATGATTTCTTTGTTTTTTAAGGCTGAATAATAATCCATTGTATGTATATACCACATTTTTTTACCTATGTATCCATCAATATATATTTAGGTTGTTTCCACATCTTGACTATTGTAAATACTGCTGCATTGAACATGAGAGTACTAATATCTCTTCAAGATCCTAATTTCAATCTTTTGATACATACCCAGGAGTGGTATTGCTGGATCATGTGACAGTTATATTTTTAATTTTTTGAGGAACCTCCATACTGTTTTCCATAGTAGCTGTACCATTTTGCATTTCCACCAATAGTGTACAAGGTTCCAATTTCTCGACATTTTCACCACTTGTTGTCTTTTTGGCTTTTTTGTTTGTTCTTGGTTTGGGTTTTCTTTTTTAAATAATAGCCATCATAACAGGTGTGAGGTGAAATCTCAAGTCTTAACAAAATTAATAAGATTGAAATCTTACCAAATATCTTTTCCATCCACAATGGAATGAAACTAGAAATCAACAGAGCACAGAATGTGTTTTGAACAAAAGTGTGCCTACAAATGTAGTTTTGGAAAGGAAGATGATGTTAGAAGAATAAAGAGAAAGAAAAGTCTCTCCATCCAAGCCTGCACTAAGTCCATTTGAAATTCTATTCTATTGATAGAGGAACAAATCATTATGCTTTTTAAATGTACATTAGTTATCATTCCTTTATTTAAAATGTATTGGATGGATTCTGTATGCTAGATATTATAGTAAGAGAATCACCAAGATGTTATTTAATTTTCTTAACAATCCTCCTCCAAGATAAGCGTTGTTTTCGATAATGAACACTGAGACTCAGGGTGGTTTGTCCAAGGTCATACACTAGGAAATGGCCAACCTAGGGTTTTAATCTTGGCCTTACTTCCAGTGGCTAGCCCTTTCTACTGTTCTACAATGTACATGTTATATGCATAGTTTTCTGTTCAGCCTGGAGGCAGATAAGCAAGCAACAAAAATACTTATTATTATAATTCATGTCTGCACTTTAGGATCTTAAAAACTATTGGGTTGTCGGAAAAGTCATGACGTATTTTTTCTATATTTTTCGTTGCAAAAATGTGTCATGACTTTCCCAACAACCCAATATTTACTTTAACATGTATTTAATTATGAAAGAAAGTATTTCCCTTCATTTTTTAGGGGATTTTTTTTCCTCAACGATTAATCTTTAGAGTAGAAGGCTTTTGTTTTCTAACATGAAGTCTTTATTATTGTGAATATTGCTAGTGTCTAAGTGGTTTTATGTAACTATATAATGATTTGCCAAAAAGCTTTTATATAAAGACAGTATCTTTCCAACTAGAAAATTGCTGTTTTAGACATATTGGCAAAATTTGTGCCTATCATCTACTTCTATAGCTGACTTTTTATTTTGTATGTTCCTTTCTCACATAAGGTGTACACCATTTTTTCCCCACATACTGCTTTGGAGATAAAACTCTTTGTGTCCACTTAAATGTTTTTATGAAGTGACAAGATCTATATCAATTGATTTAGTGCTGTGCTTATTAAGAAATTCAATTCATAAAAGATTATTTTAAGTGCTTTCTACATTCCTTGGAAATATTAAAAAGTATGAGTCATCTAAATTAATTTGGGGGAGGGAGCAGTGAACTCAAGACCCTTGAGATAGAGAGAACATGGATGTATGCAGAGACGAAAAATAAGGCTGAACTTAACTTCTGGCAATGTTTGTTTTTTATATAAATATATAAACATATATACTATGTATGGTTATAAATTCATACACTTATCACATGAATGTGTTACTGTATACAAAACTCCTTTAATGCTTTATTCTCAAATGCTGAGTTGAAAGATGTTTTGAAAGCCTTTTAAAATATATATCTTTATAAAGTAATATTCAGGATGATGGAAATTATTTATATTATGATAAAAATGACTATAAAATTTTTAAAAAGAGAAGGAAAAGTAGGCTGAAGATAGAAAAGCTGAAGGGAATTTCATGGAAAGATACTCCCATCCATGGCTTTTTATAGATTCATAGTGGTTAAGAGCATAAATAACCTCTGAAGTCAACACTGCTGAAGTTCAGACTCTAGCTCTGCTAGTTAAGCTGTTTGACTTTGGAGAAGTTTCTTGATCTCTCTCTGATTCCATTTTTCTTATCTATAAAATGTTTGAGGATTAAATTAAATAATATGTGTAAAGTTTTTATAACAACTGATATAGGATAAGTTTTTAATAAATATTAGAATGGATGTTATTGTTTACACTTTTAGGCATCTCCTTTTTTGTATATCAGGAAATGTATAATCTTGGCCCTTTATTGATCTAGGGAAAAATCATTGGACTTAACCTTTTCCAGGTATGGAAGTTCCCACATGGTATCTGAAGTATCTAATATAGAAAGGGACCTTCATTAGAAAACACAAAATCTGTGTTAAACAGATATGGAAACTTACCCTTTCTACCAAAAAATTAGTT